CACTATGATGTTTTTTTATGTTACTAACCTTGTGCTTATAAATCAGTTTCTTTTACAAGCTAAAAACACTTCATAGATAGCCACTTAAACGACAATTGTAATTATGGATCTGGATCATAGCGAAGACGACCTTGATATAACAGAGTATTTTGATGAATCTTTCCACTGTAATGAGGACATTAGTAATATAACTAACAATATAGAGTCAGTATCTTTGAAAGAAGGTGACTCATTTGACGATTTTGATGAAGCTGAATTTTATGTACATCGATTTTCTGAATCTAAAGGGTTCAAAATACGACTTGGACGTGTAAAAATGATAGATACGGCAGAAAATAGCAAGGAAGTTCATAAACGAACAATTCTCTGTAAACACTCAGGTCTATTTAGACCAAAAAATGCTGAGAAGTCAAGTACTTCGGCTCGAATACAGTGCCAGTAGCACATTAATCTTTCACGTTCTTCAAAGAATAACGATAGTTTCTGCGTATTTGTCACCACTCTAAACGATAATCATAACTATGATTTATCATCTAAAGCAATTCAGTTTGAAAAAGATAAACAGTTCACAGAAGAAATGTGGGAAGAAATTAACTTTCTTGTCACTAAATGTCATCTTAGTGCAACTATGATACGTCGTATCTTAAAAGAGAAGTTTTCTTCTCATCCTATATTTGCTAGAGATTTTTATGTTGAGATACAGCGGTGTCGACCATCATATAGTACAATTAAATGTGACGCATCACAGTTTTATGAGCAACTATTATCCAAACAATGGGAAGATTCTCGTTGGTTTGTTGAGGTTATATGAGAAGAGGAAACTAATACTTTGATTAATTTGTTCTGGATGAGTCCTGAGCAAATTATGTTATGGTGTGAATTTAATGAGGCAGTTGGGCACGATAATACTGTAGGTACTAACAGATACAATATGCCCTTTCTTTATTTGTAGTACAAGATGATAATATGCAGTCTTGTATTGTTGCCCAGGCTTTTGTCTGCAATGAGACAACTGAAACATACCAATGGATCCTTAAAATGATCAAGAAAGCAACAAATAATAAATGTCCTCATATGTTTGTGACTGACAGCGATCCAGCAATGGAACGTGTAGTAATTTTAGAGTATCAAGAGACGCAACACCTCTTTTGCATCTGGCATATCAAGAAAAACATCAAAAAAATATTACAAAGGAAGTTGGGAGATCAATTTGATAAATTTTATTACAAGTTTTGGCAATGCTGAAATGCAGATACACCACATGTCTTTGAATACTATTGAAACCAGCTTATAGGCTTTTTTGCTGCAAAATTATTCCTTGAGTGCCATCTCTATAATAGACGCTTTTCGTGGGCATGTGCCTTTACTACCATGATATTCACACTCAGTATTCAAATTACATCATTTGTCGAAAGTCAGAATGCATGCATCAAGCGGGTGTTAGAGAATAGCAACACATCACTATATGATTTAAATAAAGTATTAATAGAATGTAGCAAAGAGGAACAAAAAAGAAAGCAATTTGAGGAATGGAAAAGAGGTGTTTCTTCTATGACAAATGCAACTACTATTTTTCCTTCTATTAAATCTTTAGTTAAATATTACCTAAGACCAAATATTGCACACTTTTTGGTTGAACAAATGAAGGAAAGTTTATATTACACTGCTAGCCATGCTATAGTTGAAGAAATTGAATCACTTACTTCTTACGAATCTTCACAAAGTGAAGATATAGATGATAAGCCTGATGCTATTGTTTTGTGTGCTATGTATCTTTTAAAATGTTTAGAACGTACCTCAATTGTGGAGATTTGGAAAATATCAAGGGTTACAAGTCAAGGGGTTAACCATTTTATATTTCTTCTTTCAGATGGCTCATATAGCTGCACTTGTCTTTTGCAACAAAGTAAAGGGCTTGTTTGTCATCATTTTTACCATCTCCTAAATATTACCATTAAGGCACAATTTAGTTTGCAATTAATTGCACCACGTTGGATTCCTAAATCCCAACGATTAGATGCAGTGAAGAAATGTGTGTACTTTGGTCAGCGTTTCAGTAATATTAAAGATAAAACTACTGATATGGATATAACTATGAGCAATAAGAATCAGTATATATAGTTACAACCATTTGCTAATAGTGAAACAGAAGAGATTACCGATGATGATTTTATTGATGAAATGCTTTTTTATAGAAAAGTTTGGGGTCTTGCACGTACTGCTATAAACAAATGCATGTTACATCGTGATAATGAGTTTATTCTGTTAATTAAAAATTATTTGAATAGGGTTCGCACTAGAGAGGAAGAATTAGTTAGATCACAAGAAGTAGTGGTCTTAACTAGTCAAAATGTTGTTGAAAATACAGAGGTTAGTATGATCCAGCTTGAGAATCCTCAGAAAGTAGTTGGTAGAGGAAGACCAAAAGCAGAAAGTCATCATAATAAGGATATCACGAATATTACAACACAAGAAGCAAATAAAAAAAAATGTAGGCAGTATACTTGTGAATTTTGCAAAGAGCCAGGCTATAATATCATGACTTGTCTGAATAAAACATAAAAGTAAGTATACAAGATTGTAGACAAAGTAAGTTTTTTCAAGAAAATATTGATAGGAATTGGTAAATGTTGGTTTTAATTCGCTTATATGCTTCTTTATTAAATAAAGTGTAGAATTGTTAGAATGAAGTTAGGTTTGGGTTAAATTGAGGTCTATTACATAGCGATAGAAAGTTGTTGAATTTAAAAACATCACATATAAAACATAATGTCTTTCTTTATTACTTGTATTTTAGCGTTTTTATAGGTAATATTACTATATCACTATGTATCGGTATTGTTATAAATTGCAGTTTTATTGCATATCTGTTGCTAATATTAATGTACAAATAATAAGCAATGAACTACTTGGAGTTAACCTAAATTTGTTAAAAATCGGCTTAATTGACTATATTGTCTATATATAAGTGACGCCAAGATGAACATGCATAGTAATAAAGCATATAATCGAAACTTAACTGTACATACATATTTTTTAAAGTTAAGGTTAGTGTTAGCGTCAAAAAAGTCCTTTCTAGTTAAGGTAGTACAATATATAGTATTCAATATAATAATAAGCAAGCTTGTGAACATAAAACTGTAAAAAGAAATCAAAGGTTACAAACTGTATACGTAGCAATAGGTTCTGTTTCACTAATTCTAATAGAGAACTATAGGTTTATAAATCACTTGAC